GTTTTTGCCTTCACCCGGCTCTGGAGACTTTCTTCCAGCCTCTGGGAGGACAAAAGATGCCTTCCCCATTTCTGGCCTTTCGGAACTTCCAGGAGGCCCATTTTTCCCCCTCCCCGCGCTTCCACATGGGCCCTGCACTTACCTTGCATTAAAAATGGGCTGCGTGGAAACTCCTGGGAGGGGAGGGGCAAGGTGGGCTGGGCATGGCCAGCCAGGGGTGGGATTTGAAGGCCATAACGCTAGCTATGGGTTCTCCATCCCTGCTTCTGTTATATTAGTCTGATGAGCTTTCTTTGCTTTTGATCTGTCTTTTGGCACCTTTTGATCCAAATGGAATTCATGGATATCCTTCTACAAGTCTAATATATTCTAGATGCAACCATGTCCTTTTTCATCTACTCACCTCCTCCAAGCGATCCACATAGATGCGACAAGTCTCCAAGTCACAATCTCCCCGGACGACTATAATTCCCAGTGGAATAGCTATAGATGTATAATGATAATAACAATAAAAATGAATAACGTTAACATGTGTAACCCAAACTTTGGGCATTATATATGCAGCAGATAAGATCTGAAGGGAGTATAGAAAAGTATTCTTCAAGCTGCATTTTATTCCTGGTGACTCATGGACAATTCTGTGTTGTTTTCTAGCAATACAGAAGGAGGTTGTCATCTTTTAACTTCCCAGTTTAGTCGAGAGCCCCAGCTTTCCCTGAATACTCATGAGTCCCAACCCCAATTTAATTTCTGAACCCAGGCAAGATCAGCCAGGTGCCACCACCTGCTGAGATGAAGAAACTATGTAATTACCGATCATCTTAAAAATGTTATTAGAATATATGTAGCCTGTCAAAAGTTAGTCAATTATACTTAATGGTATTTAATTTCAGCAGAATGTGGTTGCAGAGGCATCAGTAAAGATGCATCTCTCCTGTTAGATGCCAAACTAAAATGAATAGTAAACCCTCAAACTTCCCCATGAGAGAAAAAAAAATCTCCTGGGCTCCCTAAATGCTTTTATTTTATTTATTTATTTGTCTTGTCAAGCGTGTATAAGATAATAGACGTAAGTATGATTATTATGAATACATGAAATGGATACGAATAAGTGGAGTTGTTAGAACAGGGACAATAGACATGTTGGTGCACTTATGCACGCCCCCTACAGACCTCTTAGGAATGGGGTGAGGTCAACAGTAGATGGTCTAAGGTTAAAGTTATGAGAGTTTGGGGAAGAGACCACTGAGTCAATTAGTGCATTCCAAGCATTGACCATTCTGTTGCTGAAGTCATATTTTCTGTAATCGAGTTTGGTATGGTTTACCTTGAGTTTGTATCCATTGCGTGTTCATGTATTGTTGTGGTTGAAGCTGAAGTAGTCATTCACAGGTAGAACATTGTAGTAGATAATTTTATGTACTATGCTCAGGTCAGACCAAAGGCGGCAAAGTTCTAAATTGTCTACACCCAAAATTTCAAGTCTGGTGGCATAAGGGATTCTGTTGTGAGCAAAGGATTGCACGACGCTTCTCGTGAAATATCTCTGGACTCGCTCAATTGTATTAATGTCCGACATGCAGTGCGGGTTCCAGACAGATG